GTGTGAGGGCTCTTCCCTCTGACAGCTGCAGCCAGCCGACAGGCATCATCTGTGTCTGAGGGAAGAGGCACTTTGGGGAAGGAGGCAGGGGTGGCTGGGTGGAGCCGAGCCCAACCCACCTGACATTGGCCACTGGTGTTTGCTAAAGCCATGTTGTCTGTGTGCTTGGTGCTTGTCCCTCCCTCGTGTGTGTAGCTCGTCCGGGCAGTGAAAATGGGCTTAGAGTCTGGCACTTCCCGTCTCTGACTTGGTATTTTGGAAACAGCGCTCTGCAGAGCCCTCGGGAGGCTTCGCATCCCCTCTTGGGGCTGTCAGTCAGTCCCAGCCTGGCCCCCGCCTCAGCCTCTGGGGCAGCGTGCTTTATTCCCGCCTAGTGTTTTCCTCCAGGTAGCCAGGCAGGCCACCGACTTTGACCTTGAGCTGCTCTGTGTGACAACATACACCTTCTCTCCCCCCAAGTCCCTGTCTTCCCTGGGCAGTAGTTCTGGGGCAGCCAGCAGCTCAAGTCCTAAGGACAGAGGAGCTGGCCAGGGTGGTGGGAGGACGGTGAGCTGGCCTGGCCTGGGCCAGGGTCGTGTGCTTAGGTAGCTGGTCACCGTTGACTCTCCAGCCTTGGCTTCTCCTGTGTCTGTAGTACAAGGTCCAGGTCCCAGCAAAATTTACAGAACTCAGCTTCCTTCCCTTCCCCACTCCTACCTATCTTCTCTGCTTCTAAGATAAGAACCATTTGTGTAACACCGATACTTATTAATTTAAGAAAGACATGCATTATGTGGTTGTAATCAAACCTGATGCTTTCAGGTGACCTCCTTACATCTTCCATGTGGAAAAACTGAAGAACCAGACACATGCACCCGACCCTCTGGGCCACCCCAGGTGACTGATGTAAGAATGAGATTCCAGACACGTAACACATTCACCTGTATGACAGGAAGGAAATCTATGGATACGGTATTTTGTGAATGATCTTTTAAATAAAAGAAAACCTTACGTAACACTTCATGCCCTTCTTGTCTTCCCTTCTTTGGAGTCGGGGCAGCGGGGTCCCAGTGTGGAAGCGCCTGCTGTCACCTCCGTGGGGAAAAGCAGATCCCCTGGGTGGACAGAGGGTATTTTGAAAAGTGAGGCATTAGAAATAGGATGCCAAACCCTTCCCCAATTTTTCGCCCCAACAAGAAATCAATGGATACCTTTCTTCCTTTTCTGTAATTGTTTGATGTAACTTCCCTACTCATACAGTTCAATCGTTCAGGGTTTATAGTCAGGACACTTTGTTCTCATAATCCTTGTTAGCTCCCATTAACACCCCACCCACCCCATCCAGTTACCAGTCCTGGATTCTACTATACAGAAAATCACACGAAACACAACCAGGAAGCAGACAGCAACTAGACAAAACAGACCTCACAAATAAAGCAAAAAATGTTAAAAATGGAAACCACTTTAAAATGGGCCAAAGGGAGATCAAACTTGTGATAAGGTGGTATTACATTTTAACATATAACTATATCTGGCGTGATGGACCGTATGCTCTGATGGTGGAGGCTTGCTTTTAACAAGCTGAGGGGTTGCCAGGGAGTCCACCACAGGGCCCTGCTGTCTCGACGATCCTGCTAAGCTGGGTGTTTGGGGGGAGAGGGGGTGGTGTGGGAGCCTGAGCCCCAAGCAGAACTGGATGGGTGGTCACAGTGGGCAAGCAGGGTGCTGCAGTAGCTATTGCCTCCACTGCACCTCTACCATGAGTGTTGTGGAGAGAACTCAACACGGGGCGAATCCTTAAGACAAATAAAGAAAACCTCAACTCAGGTTGAGCGGAGACTTACCTCCTGGAGAAGGAACCCAGCTCCAGACCACCTTTCCCCAGGATCCGTTGGATTCCGCCTCTGGAACCCCATGGAGTGTTCACAGGTCCGCAGAATGTACCTAGCCAGTCTCCTGCTGGCCCAGGTGAAGCCCAGGGGTCGGCTCACCTGCCGCCTCCGGGAGCTGCTCTGGTTTCATCAAGGCTGCTGCTCAGACACCAGTCCCTTGGCGTGTAGATATTTAGAGAAAACCTCTCGGGGACCTACTTCCATCTCAAGTAACGGGGGGTCCACCTCTTTCCCCGAACCAGCACCTGCATCTAGGGTTTTCATTGTGCCAGCGGTTCCGGTGTTCAGAAGTGGATTGAAATGGGGGCCTTTCGTCAAAGAC